GATTATAGTTTAAGAAAAAACAATAACAACCACTCTTGTACTAAACGAGGGACAAAATAATTTGTATTTAAATATATGACAATGACATTGACTCAAATGAAACACAAACCTAACAAAGATAAAGATCCTTATAAAATCACAAATCGCTCCCGGAGAAAACAATTTATTGGCAATGGAAACCACAAAGTAAACATCGACCAATAACGGTGTCGAAATGCCACAACATCTAATAAGAGCTATGGAAGTCTAACTACAAGCCGGACTTATCCTCAGATGTTATTACTCCATATTATTCAAAGCATTCTAATTGTTTATTTATAGTACGAATATTACGCCGGAATATTGTAATAACAAGAACAATGTATTGTAGATTTCACTAAAGCAGCGAAAGTAATTATTTTATAATTTTTATATAAGCCTACATATACACACATAAGCTAATAAGCCTTGTGCTATATATGAAAAGCTCACATCTGTATATTCCATATTATTTTATTTCTTTGTTTTATAAAAAAATAACTATAAAGAAAATAATTTTACTTGACTTGTACGTTTCTATAATTGGGTCACTAAATAACAGAAAAGAATAATAGTTGCACGTAACCTAAAATTGACGTTAATTTATTGCCAATAATGGAATTATTTAATACTTATATTTATGTTCATGCTGACAATTTAGGGCTTATTAGCTGCAGGAATAATTACAATTACATTCGAAAATTTTAATTTCAAAACTAAAAAATATGAAACTGTACTAGTTAAATTTAGTTATTTCGAAAAATGTAAATTTTGCAAACGGTAAACATGAAAAATGAAGGAATGTAAATATATAAATAACATCGAATATATATAAAAAGAAATCAAAAAAGTAGCAAAATATTAGGCAAAGGTGCCGACTTACAACTCCCAAAGGCTGCCGTAGAAAAATAAAAATTTTAATATGTATGTATGTATTTATATTTTTGTGAATCTCTATATAATTAATGCAAATGCATAATACTTCTTAGCCGCATTTTTGTTCACAATACACATACTACTGCTACAATTATTATAGACATAATTTAACAGAACACTGCATTGTAAACAACAAAATAAGCATGTGCATTTGGTAACAACTAAASACATTCAAAAGTATATTTTACACATGAGAAAATTGTTTGAAATAAAACGCTTATTTGTTTGTAATTTGTTCAGCGAYAAATGGGTATTAAACTTTTGTTTTAAGAAAACTATATTTATGTAACTGTGTGTAACCATTCTACAAATGTAAACGAGATTCAAAAGACTTAAGACCATWGTGAATGTTATGATGAAGAACAAGCGATCGTTAATTTAAAGTTTATATGACGAAATTCATGGAATTCGAATTGAAGTGAATGGAAATCTCTAAGAAAAACAAACTGAACAAATATTGAAAAACAAACAACAACAACATTAATATTTTGTTTAATGTGAAACAAAGCTGTGATTTTATGCAAGCCAGCATACGTTAAGAATGCAACAACAACAAAAAACGACAAACAACAACAACAATATCCATTGTAAGATGAAGAACAAATATTATAATTAAAATGTTTAGATTAGTTAAGTAAAAATTTGTTGACAGCAATTAATAAACAAATATCGATATGTATGTGCGTACAGAGGGCAGAGAGCTAACTTTTACAACAACATGTGTTAAACAGTTTTAAAGCCTAACAGAACAAAAGTCTCATACCGCAAACAGAATACACTTTTACAAATAAATTTTTGTAATGGTTATGAGTAATGTTCGAATAATCCAAAACATATCTTTAGAAAGGAAAACATTATATTATAACAGTCAACTTTAAGCTCAGTACTGACATACATATGTATATGCATGTGTTTCGAACAACCTTTAAGTACATATAGTGTGCCTGATAAAATTTCAAATTATATTTATTTGACTTATATGTTAATTTTATAGCATTCCAAATCTTTTTATAAGCCTTAGAGCATTTTACAAAAACTATATACATATACATTTTTATATTAGCCAGAATTAGAAAAATAAATCCTTGAATACCACAATTTTGGATGATTATAAATACGTGCTGTTCGGATTATATAGGCCGATGCTGTCATTACCAAATTTTAATTGTTGTTTTTTTTTTTATGATTATAAAAATATCTTAAAAGGGCACAACAAGAACATATGTCTTTTTTTATATGTAACTTACAAATGTCACCTTTACCTGTGTACTGTTATTTACTATTTACAAAATAAGATCATCTAAATTAGTATTATTACAATTATAATTTATTTTAATTGAAGCTCTCTGCTCAATCAAGCAGAAAATATGTTAGTTAACTTTACATAATAAGCTCAAACGTCAACAATGCTCAAAAGATGCTGGTAAAGTGTGCATATTTGTTTGAATGTAGATCACATAAAGTGTTAGAAGTGTATATAAAACCAAATTTAACAGCATTAGCCTGTTTTTAAGAACCTAACGCGGTACAAACATAGAAACAATTCCAACTACTCAGTACCAAAATGCACGAATAAACAAAAAAAACACACACACACAAAAGCAGAGTATGCATTATGAAAAGCAAAGCAAAGCAAAAAAAACAAGATATAAACAACCAACAAATTGTGATGCAAAGTATAATTATGAATATATCAACCAAGTAATTTAGCGAGGAGAGAATTGAAAGACAAACAAAAATTTATTAACAGCTTCTGTATGTCAATAAAATAAGAACAAATGCAGCCAGGGCAAATGGTAAATATTATATGTATATTATAGTACGTACACAACACAATTGTACCAATGTACTCGTATATGTATGTATGGGCAACAAATGTACATACATACATATGTATTATGCAATTTAATTGATATGTGATATGCGTCCGCCATAACAACAATAAGTTAGCGGCAAGCAACAACCTACTACAAAAACAAGCAAACGCAACATCTAAACAAAGAGTGTTTTAAGTGATATTAACTATTTAATTAAAAAAAAAACAACGTGAACAACAACAATTATAGTAATAGCATTGTAAATTGTAAAATGGCAGAAGAGCTTTTAATATAGCTTTTAAAGAAGAACATAATTAAAAACAAACAGAAAGGCAGTATGTAAAGTTTGCCAAATCGATACATAAACAACATTGTGCTATAGAAAGTTATAAGAGAA